TGCCCCCCATTCTTGCCCACCCACCCTTCTGGCTGCGCCCCTGGCCTGAATGTTCGGCACGTTCCTTCAGGGTTGAGGCAGTGGGATGAAAAGCACAGTTCTTTGGAATTAAGGGGACTTTGTGTGTTGCTAAAAAGCACCATAGCGAAAAACCACCACTGGTTTCCCCGTATAAATCAAATCAAGAGAGAATCCTAGAATCCCAGGGCTGGAAGAGACCTCAGGAGTCCTCAAGTCCACCCCCCGCCCCAAAGCAGGACGTTCCTTCAGGGTTGAGGCAGTGGGATGAAAAGCACAGTTCTTTGGAATTAAGGGGACTTTGTGTGTTGCTAAAAAGCACCATAGCGAAAAACCACCACTGGTTTCCCCGTATAAATCAAATCAAGAGAGAATCCTAGAATCCCAGGGCTGGAAGAGACCTCAGGAGTCCTCAAGTCCACCCCCCGCCCCAAAGCAGGACCAACCCAACTAAATCATCCCAGCTAGGGCTTTGTTAACCAGGACTTAAAAACCTCTGAGGATGGAGATTCTATCCCCGCCCTAGGGAACCCATCCCTGTGCCCATTCCAGTAAGAGAACTGCCAGACATTGAATGCCCTGCAAGGGTTCTGTTAGATTCGTTTTTGCACATAGCTCTTGATACGGCAATTGACTGCTCGTGTCTATTCACAGCAAAAAACTAGGGCCCAGATATGCACTAGAATGTGCATCCAGTGCTCCATTTCAGGGTTTGTGATCTAGCTGTTCTGGTTTCCTAGAGCCAGATATGCTAATTACGTACAAACCTTACTGATGCCCTATGAGATTGCACAGCTATAAATGAGCCCAGCATCTGGCCCCAAGCCTCTTCATCCACCCTGACTTCCCTGTTCAGACTGTGCACTGAAATACAGTGATTCAAGTCTTGGCTTCCCCTTTGTATTGAATCCACGAAGGCTGAGAGGTGGATTTTACTGATGGGCTATGTGCTGCCATTGACTTAATCACGCAGTTAATGCTCCAGAGCATGTAAGTGCTGGGATATTCTTTCCTACAGAAAATCCTGTGGCAGCACTAGTGAGTCAGAAAATGCTCCCGTGTGTTCTAGCCATCTCCCTCCCTACGGTTCTCTTGCGTATTTGCGAAAACTCTCTAAAGCAGCGGTCACCAACCAGTCGATCGGGATCTACCAGTAGATCTTGGTGCCTCTGACAGGGGATCCTGACTGGCTTTGACAGGAAGCTATCAAGCACTGGCACTGCCTCCCCCCCACCCCCCCCCACACACAATGTCAGGCTGCTCCTGCCCTCTGCCTTGGAGCTGCCCCCCGGGAGCCTCCTGCTCGCTGTGCAGGGTGTGGGAGGGAGAAGGGGAGGCGCTGATCTCAGGGTGTCCTTGCTCTTCCCCACTCCTGTACCCTGACTCCACACAGAGAGAAGGTGACGGAGGAAGCGTGGCAACGCAAATCTCTGTCACTCTCACATTGTGTGTGTCTCTGTCATACTCACAAACACGCACTGTCCGTCCCTCTCCTCTCCTGACCCAACACGTCCGTGGGGGGTTGTTACTGTTACTGCTTGCAAAGTGGGTTCTTTTGGGGTGTGACTGGTCTGGGCATTTCATAACTTTCGTTTCTCCCTTACACTTACATTTAATTCTTTGAGCAGTGAGTTCTGAAATGCCGAACCCGTTGTGGCTGGAGTCATTATCCCCTGTGGTCACTGCTGCTCCTGGAAGTGGCTGACATGTCCCTGCAGCCTCTGAGAAAGGCAGAGCAGGGGGTCTCCACATGCTGTTCTTGCCTGTGGACACCACTCCTGTAGCTCCCACTGATCAACAGGGAACTGTGGCCAGTAGAAGCCGTGGGCTCAGTGTCTGTAGGTGAGGGGCAGCACATGGTGCCATGGAGCCATTGCTGTCCATGCCAGCTGCTTTCGGGAGTGGTGCAGGGCCAGGGCAGGAGCAAGCCACCTTAACCCCACTGCTCCACCACCCGGAAGCCGTCTCAGCCTGCATCCTCAGCCCCTGTCCTAGCCCTGAACCTCCTCCTACCCCAAACTCCTGCCCCAGACGTGAATCCTCCTGCACCCAAACTCCTTCCCAGAGCCTGCCCCCTGAAAGCCCTCCTGGACCCCAGTCCCCCACCCTGGGCTCCTCCCACACTCCAAATCCCAGACCAGCCTGCATCTCAACCTCCTACCCCAGTCTGGTGCAAGTGAGGATGGGGGGAGGAAAGGGGATGGATCTTGCATTGAAAAAGTGATCTTGTGGTTAAAAAGGATGGAGACCTTTGCCCTACTGCATTTCTCCTCACAGCACCCGAGTGAGGCAGGTGAGCGCTGTTATCCCCACAAACAGCAAATTGAGGCAGGCGGGGTGGAGCAGCCAGCCCCAGCGCCCCCTG